AGTTAATGTTCTGGTGCTTCTTTCTTTGGCCGGAGGATGGACTGAATTGAATTGATCTTAAAAAAAAAAAACAAAAAACAAAAAAAACTTGCCCCCAAATTCTTTTCAGTGACATCTGTTTGATGAATGATGTTCATACCTGTTCTAGCACAGCCTGCTTTAAGCAGTGCTGTCATAAGCTGACTAATCACAGCCACAGTTAAATGCTTGAAATAGGTAACATCAATACTCTTTCCATCATCAATATGTAGTATCAATACTCTTTCCATCAGGAAAGGAGATCACAGTACAGCATGAGATAGTGTGTGCCTGGTGCAGAGCGAGCGCTTGGCGTGCTCTTCTGTTGCACTCCAGCGCCTGTCTTTGGCTGAGGACGTAATGCCTCACCTCAGCTGATCCATTTCAGATGAGAATTTATAGTGTATATTTTCAATTTGATAGCAAGAATTTCATTACACCTGCTCTGTAGACCAAACTTTATTTCACCTGAAGTTATTTTTTTATTGGAAGAATAAATCTTGATTGAACAGTTCGATTCATATATCTGTCATTAGTCGTCCTCTTCAGTGAACTGATAACTGCAGTTATCTGACAGAAGTTTCAGGGACTTGAAGTAATCATGTCATTCTTGAAGTTAATGAAGTGCTTATGGTAGTCGTGGGGGCAAAATGCCTCTGAATAAAACATTCTTAAAGTTTACTACCATTTATTAGAACTCAGTGTTACCAGAAGGCTTTTTATCAAAACAGTCTTTAAGTGTGGGAATGGCGCTTTCTCCAATAAAGCCATTTTCAGAGGTTTCTTTTAGGAAAATGGTGAGCATAGCACTAAAGAAGTTAGTATTATCTTTCAGACGGAAAGGTTGTTCTTTTTCACAGTAACAGTTTCATGTATATGAAAGAACTTATTTAAAGAATTTACTGTCAATGTATCACATTTCTAATTTACTTCATGGACAGGCATTAGAATTTTTTTTTTAAGTCTTTTGGAAAATAGCAAAAAAAAGAGCCACTAGCAGTTTTAAAAGTACTTTTAGGTCTAGTGTTCATAAATATATGCCATGCATTTTGTAAAGCTACTCTCTAAGTTGGTAGTTTAACAAAAACCTTACAGCTCCATGACAATAGGTGTATAGTCTGCATTCTTACGAACAATTGAGTGGCATCAGCTTTACAAGAAAAATACATGACTGTTCAGGTTAAGCCTCTGCCCAGCTTGGATTTGTGCAATGCACACGTCGGTTGCCTGCAGGTGTCCTTACTTAAGAAAATTAAGATAATTCCATTTTGGGTAGTTTGTGTTCCTTTTTAACCTCCACCTGCAGTATTTAATAATGTTCAAGCATTTGACTGTGTCCACCTGTGCGGTGGTTTAAAGTAAGGATTTTAAAATTGTCATTCCTTCTAACCTTTTTTGGATAGGTTTTTAAAGTTGTGTTGTTGGGAGCACAGTTAGAGCTATTTTGTAAATGTCAGTAAAAGAGCAAGAACTAAATGGACACATACTGTGTGTCCAGTTCATCTTGGTGTTAACGCAGTCTGCCAGGATGAGAAGTATTTATAAAAAGATTTAGAAGAGAAAAATATAAATGACTGCATGTGTAAAAAATCTAAAACATGGGTCTTGGGATAGTGTATAATACTGAAATAGAGTAGAGCCTCAACAATGAACCGAACATGAACTTGTGTTATAAAAAAGCTTAATTACTTGGGCTTTCTGTGGGCAGAGGTGTTGGGGAAATTTAGAGGGTGTTAAAGAACAGCAGCAGAAATTATATAGTGGCTTGAAAGAAAATTTAGATTAAATGTCAAGAACACAGTTTCTGAATAGATTATTCTAAGCCATTATACTAAACATGGAGGCTATGCAAGAAAACCTAGGAGAACACTTTCAGTCTAGAGAAGATCAAGTTACTTTATCATGGAATCTGTGTTTCTTTCTGTGTGTTGCCACTTGCAGCTTTAGAACCCTTTGGCCAATTCGTCTCATTGGACAGAGAGAGAAAATAAATGTCTTATGAAAATACACTGCTGAGAGGGGCTAAAGATTGATTCAAGTGTCCTGAGACGAAGGCTTCAGTAGAAATGCTTCTTTATTGGCGTCTACCAGAGAGGGAGGTCTTGCATATCCTTCTTAGCAAAAGCTTTGCTTAGAGCACACATCATCTTTAAATATCAAGTCCAACAGAGCAGGGGAGAAAAATGTACAAAACTCTGAGTTCTGGTTTACAGAAGCATTCATTTCTGATCTCTGTGACTGAAAAAGCGGTGGTTTCCTTTTTCAGTCACTACGATGAACAATTTACCAGGAAAATGTAAATGGCACCTAAGCATGCCTACATGTGGGAGTCAGAGTGTAGTTTGAAGGTAGGTCTGAGGACTGGAATTTGCATTGCTGAGGCAGGAGAATTGTTCTGTATCCTAATGTCACATGTTTTTTCAGTTAAAGCTTTTGCAGAACATCTAGCTGGTTTGTTCTTGGGCTGTGTTTTTTTTGTTTGGTTGGTTTTGCATGCACAGTAAGGAATAGTAAATGTCTTACTGGGAAAAAACACAATCTTAGCGTTTCCAAACCAAAGTAGCGTAACCGTGGTTTGGGGATGAAAACAAAGAAAAAAGGCAGAGCGCCTACTGCAGAGCATGAGCAGAACTGTGGGTGCTGTCCTCCTGAGGAGCAGCTTGGTTGAGATTTGAGGAGTGATGAGAACAGCATCCTTTGCTTTGCTGTCAGCTTGGACAAGTCACACACACGTCCCAGACTGCCATTTCCCATCTCTAACCCTCCTGGGGTCTAATGCTTCCTGGGGTCTGAAGAACATGCACATTTTATAAATTAAGTCATGTATTGTAAATCTCCTGATGAACGGAGTGCAAACTTAATGTAGCAACAGCCCATATATACTGTATGTCTGTAGTGGTTTAACCAAACTTTATTTTTTTATTATATGTGTATGTATGTATCCCAGCATTTTACAGGTGGTCAGATGTTGCAGAAAGACATATTACTGAGACTAAGAGTTGCTGAATTATACAATAACTTAAGTCTAAATAACTTTATAAATAGTCAAGTTGGGCTCAGTAGCAATTCATAAGCCCCATTAGGTAGAATACATAACAGCTTTCTTGGAAAAAAGACACTGGGATGGTCTGAATATTATCAGCTGATTGGCTGTTGTATTAGGTGTGCTATAAATACACTTTTTAAGATTTGCTTTTTTCAGTTGAGTGTTAATATCGTTAAAAGATGAAAAAAACCACAGTAATTCAAACGTGATACTGCTGTTAAGGACTTCATCTACATTCAGAAACCTACAGTCTCTTCAAACAACAAATGTTAGCTGGGGCATAATTTCATTTGTGGACTTAAAGCTATTGAAGGCACAGGATTAGACAAAACATGCTCTGCTTGCCATGTAGCTGGTTTGCAAAGATGATCTGAAGCATTAAACTGACAATTAAACGTGTTGGGTGGACCTCAGGTAAAAATATTGCAAAGCCAGGTAGGTTGTACTCGGTGGAGTTACCACATGCAGCAGTCAGGTCTGCATGAAGGCAGCCCTCAGGCTGTCGCAGGGGAGTTGAGAAATGTTTCAAAAGCAGAGCAGCACTGTGGCACCCTTCAAAGCTAAATGGAGGTTAGTGCTTTTCCCTTCCCACAGCAGGGAAAGTGTCCTGTTGAAGTACTCACCATGAGCACTGGCGGCTGGATGGGGCAGCAAACAAGGACCTTCTGTGCTCATGTAGAGGTGTCGCTTGATTTTATTGATGGAGAGTATGTTGTTGTCTCCATTTGAAAGTGGTTTGTTTCATCCCTGGAAGTGTGGAATCCAGTACCGGTGTGTGCGTTAGGGTGCTGGGTTTTTTCATAGCATGAGGTACCTTGTTTAATTGACAGTGGCACCCAAATCGCTATGCATTTCCATTTATATACTGTGTATTTGATGGCATTGTGCATATGATGCTTTTAAGTTGCCTGTGCCATCCATTTCCTCTATAATTTGCATGGGTTTTTCACCAAAAACAAGCTATGGAAAATATTTTTTTTAAATGAGGAAATCATTATAAAGGTTTAAAAATCAACAGGGAAGATTTAGAACTAGGAGCTATGAAATTCCACTTTAAAATTATTTTGATAATGAATGACTAGTGTGTGTCCCTTTGGCCTGATTATCTTTAATTGAATTGAATCTTTTAAAGCACAAAAGAGGCCTTGTGGATAATTCAGAAAACTATTCCCTTTAAATACCGTTTCACATTTGTCAATTATTTTCTGCTTTCTTCATCTCTTTTTTTAATAAAGAATATTGGCATGAGTATAAGATGTTTTACAAAGGTTTTCCTACCCTGCTGTTTCATCCCCACCTCAGCGATACTGCTCTCTACCTGACATCACACTTGTTTCCACAGTGACCTACTGCTACAAGGCGTTCCTGCTGGAGCAATGGGACTTTCTTGTAAATAAGATGCTATGCTTTCCGTCACAGGCTTTGACTAATTCACTGAAATTAAAGTGCATGGTAACAGCTTCCTCAAAGTTAAGCTTGAGCTAATCTGAGAGTGGTTTTGGTCAGTGGTGGTATACCTGGGCAGTGTCACTAAAGCCTACAGCACTCAAAGAACGTATGCCATCACCTACAAGAAAAATGTGTTTTTAATTGCAGGACTTCACGAATTATTGATATCACTTCCTAGTATGTATTTATTGTAATTTTCTGTGCTCAGGAATTTAGCTGCCTATGATGCTGTTTCCTAGCAAAAGTAAATGTGAATTTAATCTAATTTTCTCTTGTCTTGCTTCTCATAAAAACATCTGCAGCTGGGTACTCACAGCCGTAAAGTTAGTTCTTTTCAGCGCTATTTCAAACCTGGGTTTTGTTTTCTTTATGCAAGTGCATGCAGCCTGCCCCAGCGCCAGCGAGCAGTGCCCCAGCTGCCTGGCTTTCCGGCTGTGTGTGCCAGGGAGGGGGGTTGCAGCTGGCGTCAGGGGGTGAGCTGCAGCCCGGCCTGGCAGTCCCCATCTCTCCAGCCTCCGTCCAACGCCTCCTCTCACCAGACTTGGTGGCGGAGTAGCTGAGTAATTCAGTTCAGTCCCAATCAGTGGAAGAGAGCGCAGGTGCGAGTCCAAGCTGGATATGGAGCTAGAAAGCAGGATGTCAAGGACACAGAGGAGTAAAATAGTGATTTTTCATGGCAAAATAGTTGAATTGATGGCAGCAAGAAAATCAAATCGTGTTTGAGCTTAGATTTATTGATATTCCAGTGCCTTTCAGTTGAATCAAATTGTCCACAGCACTGTTTCAGGCTCTTTGCAGTCTTACTCTAGCATCCATGTATCCATTTATGCTCACTCCCCTTTCTTGTTTTAAATTATCTCTGCCTTTCTCAAGGCTAGAAACCATTTTTTTCCCCTCTAAAATGCCAAAGATAATATGTCCCAAGCCATATTCAGTCTCCTCTCTTACTTTGCTTTACCTAACACCTTTTTAAGGAGAACAGTTTGAGGTGCCACCACTTTTCTTTAACTTTCATTACTCATTTGGTAAAATCAGGTAAAATACTATTTCTTATGGCAATAGCTGAAAATCTATACTGGGCAAACACTGCAGTCGTGTATCACGATGTTTGATGGGTAGTGGTTTATACATGAATGTGCCTTTGTGTAATATTGAAAGATCAGGTTCACAGCAGAAAACCGATAACGTTGTTGGGGTTTTTTTGAGCAGAGAACCAGAAGTAAGAGTTAAGGTTTTCATCCTGTTAGGGGTGCCGATTCATAGGATCTTTGGACAAGTAGATACCTGTTAAAATCCATGTTTTGTTAATTGCCCTGCCAGCTTTTCCTCTTCTTAAAATCAAGAGAGTAGTAGTGCATACCTGCTCCTAGCGCTATATATAATAAGTGACTGAGGATTGAGCTTACAGACTTAGTACTTGCAGTCCAACAAGTTGCTTTATTCATCACTGGTGGTGCATTTAAAAGTAGAGAAGATAGGTCAGCCACACCTGCTGCAGTTTTAGGCTGCATGTAAAAGGGTGAAAAGTAATAGAAGAAAAATAATTGTGGGGTTTTTTTTGCAGGGAAGCTTGGTCGCTTTCCACCAAGGATGCATTACCAGGCCACTCCTGACAGCCGAGCTGCCCCTCATTTTCCAAGGTCTCACCTTGCTGAAGCAGTTGCGAAAGCTAAGGCAGGTGGAGGCAGTGGTGGAAGCACTGGTGGAACTGGGAGAGGTCTTGTGGGGCAGATTATCCCTATATATGGATTTGGCATCTTCTTATATATCCTGTACATTTTATTTAAGGTAAGAAGACCAACATAAATTGAAAAGTCAGGGAAATAACAACTAAAAAAACCTCAAAACAGAAATGAAGTCCCGTTTTTGTGCCTGGTTCCATTTCAGCCTTGCTCAAAAAAAAAAGAAAGCTTATGCTGGACCTTTGACGGGTGGTTAAAAGACCAGTGTGTCCTGTGGTTTTTGCTATTGCAAAGACTGTAGCTAAGATTGCAGGGACGGGTTTCTGTGATCCTGTATTGGCCTCTGACTTCTTACAGTTTTTTAAAGCAGGTTTTTTTCCGATGGAAAATGTGTATGTCTAGAACAATGTTAGATTAATTTTGAATATACACATAGTATTCTTTTCTATTATGTGTGACTACATATTATATATACTGTATATGTCACATGTGTTATGCATTTAAAGTGGGAGAGAGGGAGTACAGTTATTGCATGCTTTCTGGAACAAAAGCACCATGTTGTTGGAGAGTGGGAGTTTTTAAGGTTGTATTGACCATGCTGGAACTGCCCTAGCTGAGGGACTGGTTGAAAGCTAGTTTAAAAAAGCACAGCCCAAATTCCCCTCAAGCATCTCACACGATTTGAACTTCTCATAGCTTTTTGTTACACAGACGTAACTTGCATGTAGGTGATGACAGTCAGCTGTGTGGGAGGAGGGAGAAGTGGACTTGTGGAAATGTTTTTTCCTTGGTGTGGGGGCTGAATCCAGACTGAGCAGTGTCTAAACAGTTGAGCCTGCTCTGGGCAGATAGAGGCAAGAACAAAATGAATTGGGTGAACTGATCAAACACAGAGAAGATAAAAGAAATGGATAGCCTGCAGCCTCTGTATAGAGCCAGCCAGTATCTTTGCTGCAGGTACAAAGTTGGTAAGCAATAATGGCAGAAAGCGTTGCGAGAGGGACAAGCAGGGTCACATATAATCCCTTCAGAACCTGTCCTTTGTTGCACAATAATTGCCCAATGAGTTTTTTTCCCTCCTGTATGCAGAAGAATGGAACAGATAAATATTCTAAAATGAAGAAGTTATTTTTGATGAGTTACGCTTTCACTATGCTTAAAAATATCATTTTTTCCAAGTGTCTTTCAGGAGTTTTCAGGTGGCAAGATCTCCCAGGCATCTTTCATGGCTGTCTTTTTTTGCCGCTGGGCATGCTTTTCTGTCGTTACTTTCTGGCATATTTTAGTTTCCTATCCTTTTTGCTGTTGCCTTTGGGGCTTATATGTTACTATTGCAGTAACTCATAGAAGGGTCATCTTTTTTCACACATCAGCTGGCTTCCAAAGGAAGAACCGCTGGAGAGCGGAAATGCCCTACTGCTGCACCTGGAAACTTGAAGAGGAAAATCAGTGAGTATGACTTGCGAGTTATATCTGTGTAGCTGTTGACTCTGTAGAGGGACAGTCCAACTGGGTTCTTAGGTTCTGGGCACACTGTAAAGCTGCTGTTCACCCCCGTAAAGAACAAGCCAGAAGCTTCTGTGTTGGAATGAGTAAGAGTTAAAGTGAATTACTGCACCGTCATTTTCTAATCTCATTCAGCTAATGAGACTCTGTGATACTAGCCTGATCCCAAGCCCCCCTGGAAGCAATGGCTTTTCATGAGGTTCACTGAATTAACTGTACGGATTTGCTGAAAAGCTGTGTAGCTAATGATTAAAAATGGATAATAGGATGTCCATCTATAATTATTCTATAATCCGTAATATTCTAGTATTAGTATATAAAGATATTATTAAAAGCTACCTCCATTTTTTTTAATTTGTGAATTCTTAGCTATCACCAGGCACTTCCCTACTTTTTCCCTTCCCTTTTTGCAATGCTTGAAGTTTTGATAAGAAAGCAAACAGTATTCTGGAATGTTATTGTGATTTTACGTGAACATCAGTGGGATAGATTCAACTATTTGTAGACATTTATTAGATAAATTAATAAGCTTACTGTTGAAGATTGGATGAGTAGTTACCATAACAGTATTTAAATGTGTTGTGTTTAGCTGGCTAAGTTGTAATAAGAAAGAAAAGTACTTAAGGCTTTATAGAAAGTGCTGGCTGTAAGGTAATTCTCTTAACATAGCTGTAATTATCTTGACATTAATGTGTATATTAGGAATACCTAATGTACTCAGTGCTATAGATTGTATTTTCAGTGCACTTGTACTGCATTGTGCCTGGCAATTTTGTGCAATTTATTAGCAACGGTAATTGTATTTTTTTCCTCTAATGCTTGGTAAGAGAAACTAACTTTGCAGTAAGTTAAATATTTGCCATCATTATAACCCAAAGAACTAGTGATGAAAATTATTCTGCCTTTTCTAGAGCTCTTAATTTGGATTCCTAAAGCATTCATTGCAAGCTGTAGCAGAGCAGGGGACAAGTCACTGGACTAGGAACCACTACCATAATGACTTGGAGGGAGTAACTTACTTTGCCAGTTTTCCTTCCCCTATTTTTAAAGTCTCAGACATGCAAAATAATGACATCAGTGGTAAGTTAAGTAATGACATTCTCTCCAGAATAGAGATTTTTCCAAAAGCAGGATGTTTATGGATGGCTTTCTCCATTCCTACTATGTCGGAGTTCCATTGTGCCTTTATGCTGCTTAAATGGGTGTGACTGTAGCAGCTGAATATTTAACTAACCCAGGCTGGTTTCATTTTGTTCTGCAGTGGGGAACAATGAAGTCTCAGCTATCAGATTTTGAGTGTGAGCTACAAAAGCCAAACAAGGAGCTCAAGCATTTTTGTTGACATCCATGGTGTTGCATCTTTACCGTTAACGCTTTCGGCTAAATTAAAGCCAGTATGGGTGTTCCTGCTTGTATTCATGTGTGTCTACTATTGTACTATGGACACATTTTTTGAAAAAAAATGCAACCATGGAAATACTGTGCTTTGCTCCCCAGCCAGACTCTGTGTGGCTAGCTGTTGTTCATCCCTGTAAGCCTGGCAGACTGTTAGCACTCACTGCCTACCCTGGCACACCTGTGCAGGGTTGGATGCCATCAAGGCCATGAACTTTATTCTCTTTGATAAAGATGTGGTTTCTCAAATCCTAGACTCATTAGAAAATGCTCAAGTGACCTTGTGTCTCCGTTCCCAAGGACTTAACAGGGAAATTCCACAAGAACTATTAATTCTGCAGTAGACAGTAAACCACTATGGTTTCCTTAGGGGAAAAAAAAAAATGTATTTTCTTTTCCCTAACTTTAATCTCCACGGCATTTACAGTGGCCGACTCACTCTGCTTATTGGGAGGTTGCTTGGGAGTCTTTGAAAGAAGGTGATTTCTGTGTGTCCTATTACCCTTGGCAATAGTCTTCACCTTCTTATACCAGGAAGAGTAGGTAGAACTCTTCTAAGCTGCATGCTTTAGTTTCCTCACAGCCGATTTGGTTTCGTACAGCATATGCTACCTGTGATAATGGGACAGGGATACATTTTCAAAGCTCCTACTGACAGATCTTGGGATTTTGTTTGTTTTATAGCTGACTATGAGCTCACGCAACTCCAGGAAAAACTGAGAGAAACAGAAGAAGCTATGGAAAAATTAATCAACAGAGTAGGACCTAACTGTGACAGGTATGTTTCAAATTACAGCATTCTAAGGAGAGATTCTGCTCTGATTAGAAATTAAACTTTCCTACATAGGCTATATTAAAATAGCATTTTTATTACTACTTCAAATTGTAGAAATTTGATTTTACACATCACACTTTTTGTTCTTCAGTGTTTCTCTTTTCAGCATCTATGTTTAAAATAAATCATTTTTTCCAACTTCATTTTCCTTAAACAGAAAAACAACTATCCCTACCCTCCCCCTTTGTACAGTGCGTTATTTGGAAGATAATGACAGGTATGCGTAAACAGAAAATAAAACATCTACATTTAAAGTATATAAAACAACCTGTCTTATGTGACCAAAGTAATACTGTGAATGATTCCGAAGAGACCCATTTGTTTTCTGTTATTTTCCAGTTCTATGGATTATTTTTCTAAATAGGAATGGTGTTACAATCTATGTAAATGCCTGTTAGAATATCCTTAAAATATTTCTTTAAGGGCAGAATTGTATAATAATCTGATTCCATAACTTAGTTCCACCCTGTAACCAGTAAATCCATGGATTTGCTTCTAAATATAAAAGAAAAAAAGAGTTGTAAAATCAGGATTTTAAAATTTATTATGTTTACTGTTTGCTATAAATCTGAGATCACTATTCTACATTATACAGAAACACTGGGAACAAGTCTATGTTTTTCATAAGGAGTGTAACAACACATCAATAGGAAAGTGCATAACTGCAGTATTTGAAAATTTAAATACCATGAATGTTAAGGTGATGTTTGCAAGCAAAAAAGCTAGCTCTTCAGGTTGTAACGCATGTTAACTTTGTCTGGATCAGTCAGTGTCTGTTTTAACCCATTCTGTAGGAACAATTCTGTGCCAAACTTGCACGTTATATTCATTTATGCTTCAAACCGCATTCTCTTTGAGCATGTAGTTTTGCCCACTTTGCACTGTGTCCTGGATTGCGGCTGCACTCGTCTCAGCAAGACAAGGTGCCAAACTTGCCTGTGTTAGGCCAGGTTCCAGCAGGAGAACCCCTAAGCTGCCCTGGTTTTGTTAGTGTAACAGAAGGATACTATTTTGACGGTTACTCTTCTCTGTTTTGGCGAGCTGACGCAGTGCTCTATGTGTACCTTTAAGCTGCCAGAAACAGGCTTATGAGCTGCCCAGATATTGTACTGACTCGCAGGACAGGATATTTTTTACTGAGAAAATGGGTTTAGAGTCTGACCCAGTATCTGTTCCACTCTGTGTTATTGGCTCAGGGCCTTTATTTAGTAGAACTTCCCTTCTTTGTTCAACCAAACTATTTATATAGATGGATCTAAAGGCCTCAGGGGAAATCAGAATCTGAATCTAATAAAGAATTTTGTATGTAGCATCTTTAAAGAGAAGGGGAAAAGCACCTCTAGATGGAGCAAATAGGTGTTTTTCAAATACACCCAGACTTTGAAGCTTTCTTAATCTACACTGTGATACTCATTAAGTTCAGTAATACTGGATGAATGTCTTAAAATAAAATGTATGGCTAGAAAGTGTAATTAGAGCACAGAGTACAGTGCTAGGCTTATTCAACCTGGATGTTGATAGATTTAAATTAAAAGGAAAGAGGAGGAGAGCAAAAATGACTTGAGCTCCATTTACTAATATGCAGTTAAACAGAAATCCTTATAACAGAAAAGTCAGAGAAAGAAATAACTTGTATCAAATTTAAGCTAGTGCTGAAAGACCCCAGGTGAGACCATGGCCCATTATACTAGATATGGCAAAGCGACTCCCAGCCTGCCAAATGAAATATTGGTAACCAAACCAATTGTCACAAAACCCAATGTATTGCTACGAGGATGACGATCCTGCAGTATGAGAAACAAACAGGATGAACTGGAAGCGCTGGTCAGCTCCCAGAGCTATGGTATCCTTGGTATTACTGAGACTTGATGGAATGAGTCCCACGATTGGAGTGCAGGGATGGAGGGCTACAGGCCATTCAGGAGGGATAGGCAGGGCAGGTGAGGTGGAGGTGTCGCACTATACGTACGGGAGAGGTTTGATTGTACAGCCCTTGGTGATGGTGTGGTTGAGAGCCTCTGGGTGAGGATTAGGGCGATGGAAAACAAAGGAGATGTTGTAGTGGGTGTCTACTACTGATCGCCCAGCCAGGAGGTAAGCACTGGTGAGTTATTCTATAGGCAATTAGGAGAAATTCCAGGATCGGTAGCCCTTGTCCTTATGGGAGATTTCAACTTCCCAGACATCAGCTGGGAGTATCATACTGCTGAGATGAGCAGGTCTTGGAAATTCTTGAAGTTTGTAGGAGGTAACTTCTTGTCACAGGTACTCGGTGAGCCAACTAGGCAAGATGCCCTCCTAGACCGGCTGTTTGTGAATAGAGAAGGACTTCTGGGGGATGTGATGATAGGTGGATGTCTTGGCCACAGCGATCACAAAATGGTGGACACTAAGATTTTCAGTGTAATGAGAAAAAAGAACAGCGGAGTTGCTACTCTGGACTTCAGGAGAGCAAACTTTAAGCTATTCAGGGAGCTATTTAGCAGAGTACCCTGGGAATCTGCTTTTGAGGGCTTAGGAGTCCACGAGTGCTGGCTTCAGGAACCACCTTTTGTCTTAAAATGAAATGTATTGTTAGAAAGTGTAATTAGAGCACAGAGTTCTTGAGCTCCGTTTATTAATATGCAGTTAAACAGAAATCCTTACAACTGGTATCAAATTTAATGCTGAAAGACCCCAGGTGAGACCATGACCCATTACACTAGATATGGCAAAGCAACTCCCAGCCTGCCAAATGAAGTATTAGTAACCAAACCAAAGGATGTATTTTGCATTGTCACAAAATCTGATGTATCACCGTAACACACAGTGTTTGTAATAGTGCTGAGGTCTGAGCTCGTGCCTCAGTGTCCACTCACTATACTGCAGGAGCATTCTCCTCCCAGCTGAACTGCTCCAGGATTCATCCTGGCTTTTTCCTTCTGGTGAAGATTCTTAGAATCCCAAGACATTCTAATTTTGTATATTTTCTTTAAAAAACCATTGCTTTTGAAATCCAGATGAGTTTGGAAGGACAGTTTATTCTTAGATAATCCTGTACCACAGAAAGAAATCCTGTTTCAAAGGAATAATATATACTGTGCTGTGCAATTTTATTCTGCTTTCTTCTCTAGCAAGTGTACGTGTTGTTTTCTTGCTGTGGCTTATCCTGCTCATTTCTTTTCCTTTCAAAAGCATTTGAGTGAAGTGAGGCTGGAAGACATCTCAGTACTATTAGGTGGTTTTCTTAGATGGGATAGCTAGTATTATCGAGTCCTGTGTTGTAGAAGGTAGGCAGGCAGAAACTTGGATTTGATTTTTTTTAGTGAGGCTTGAAGACCAACCTCCAAACCAACTAGGGAGACCTCCTTCCAAACCAGCACACCAGTTGGAATTGCTACAGCCTTAAGTACAGAAACCCCCTTGCAGAAATGCAAAACTTTCAAAAAGTACAAGTACAGGTACTTTTAGTAAGGCCTAGCATGTATTAGCAAGGACTAGAAGCAAGGTAAAGAAAGCAAGAGGAAGAAAGAACTACCTGGCCAGGTCCTCAGCAATGTAACCAAACTTAAATTAAGAGATGGAAAAGGTAATTGTTACCTAATGCACACACTTAAATAGGTAGTACATAGTACCTAAGGATATAATGATTCACAGCTCTGAGAAAATCTGGCACTCTTCCCAGCTCTTTTTTCAACAAGTTATAAATTTAAATTACACAGTTTTGTAATTTATCATCACATCCTATCAGTAAGGGGACCTCAGTAACTCCAGTTTCTAAATGTAGACCTTTATAGTCCAGTATCTCTCAGCAAAGATGAGGAGCCTTGCTGGGAATTTGATGATTCAGAAATAAAGATTTGATTGATGGGTATATAGGGCTCTCTGCATTAAAAGCATGCATATTGCTTTTTTCCAGCCTTTTAGCAGAGTGTTTTAATGTTAGGACAGTGATATAATGTGCACAAAAGATTTCCCTACCCATTCTCACAGATGTCTTACCCATATTCTTTTCACCACTGTCTGTAAAATTTGGTATTTTGAAACCACTTTAAATTGAAGAATACTCGTAAATATTTTTCTCAATGGGAGTATTATGCAATACTCTCTTGCAAAAAAATCTCAATTCCTGGTAATTAGGTAAGAGGTAAAAGTAATGCAGCTCGATTACCTGTTTTTAAAGTCCTGTTTACCAGGCTGTCAATTGGAAAAAAATTACCTTTTTACCATAAACTGAGCCAATGTGATATGGAAAAGAGGGAGAGAGAGAGAGTCTGTACTCTGTGGGGTGCCATTTTGGGGCTATAGCTGCATTTTAATAGTGATTATTTTAAGATCATGAAGCAAAAAAATACCAGTTGACATGTCTGAGATACCATGTTAGATTATGGATTTTCACTGCTGTCATGATAGCTCTTTAGGAAATGTTCTGATCTCAGCGTAAGAATACAAAGCTTTTACATTACCTGTTAGTGAGTACTTTGGGACTCTACAAAACATAAGATTGCCACTATGAAAAGTAATAGCTGTGTTGGAGCTCCAAACACACAGCAAAAATAATGACCTTTTCTTACACTGTAAACCTTTTCCATCTGTTGTCCTCTTAGTATTCTTAAGTGCATTATACTCTGTACACAGGCAGCCAGATGTCTTATACATTGCCAGCATCCTACGGTAAGTCTTCCTAGAGGCCTTAAATGAAGTAGAAATAGTGCATGGGCTTTGGTTTCTCCCTCTCTACAGGGAAATTTGTCTTTTAAGCAAGGTATCTGGAGGAGGAGTACTCTGAAATACAGACATCTTGTGTTGCAATAGGACAGTAGTGCTTTCTAATGAGACCATCCAGCATATTAGGAATTTTCCTATATGAAATGCCACAGTGATGCAGCTGCATTGTTTGATCCTATTGTCTGCGCTAGCATATCTCCCCATTGTGCTCAACAGATAGGCCTCTCTGTCTTTATCCAGGTGATATATATTCAAATTACATACACTTTTGTCTCTAAAAGGAGGATTAGTTTGGCAGTTCTATTACAGCTTCTGTCAAAGGCAGCTAGCTGATGAAACCATTTCTTTTTGTGTGCCTCTTAATGCACATCTCAAATTCTACATCTGCATAACCCAGGCTTTTGAGCAGATGCTGTCTCACACCTTTGCTTGTTCTGTGGAACAAACTGCCACCACAACTTGAGGGGACTCAGTGCAACCTCCATATAGCGTTGGGACCGTATCAGCTTTTCAAATTGTGGGGCAAAGTGCCCCTTAGGGGAAGCGCAGAGAAGTGATGTTTAGCCTTGTGATCTCAATCAACCAGTTTAATCTGGGTAGCTGCTAATGAAACCAGTGGGCCTGCTCCTGAGCTAAATTCAGTTACAGACAACTGTGTGTGCAGCTGTGCACAAAATCTAGCCCAGGGTCAGCGCTTTGCTCACCATCGCACAAACCAGCAGTATGATGCTGATCTTTTGGCTTTAAACCAGTATGATTCTGCTGCCTTTAGGGGAGTAACTATCGTGTCACCATCATTCCCGTATATGTAGAGTAGCACAAAGTACCTATTAAAGTGCTGCTTTAGTCACAACAGTTAGTAAGAGGAAAAACTGAAGGACACTGCAAGTTTTCAAGTTTATGAGAATTCAGGCACCTGAAACAAGGTTTAGGTAGATACTAATCACCTAAATCCAAAATGACTAATCTCTTTCCAGCTCCCCTCTTCCCAACTCACCCCTAAGATTCACTGAGCAGCTGTCTAATCTTGGAGATTATCTGTCTATATGATGGTCTGGAGATCACCAGAGACCATCCGTCTGAGCTCACATACCACCTACAGTTCAGCATTCTGCACGTGCCAAGGGCTACCCTCTCTGAGTAACTTAGGGGCAATAGATCCTGCCTAAAACACAGCGAGATTCAAACGAGCACCAGCATAGTGCCTCAGTCCTCTGAGAGGCTTGAACTGGCACTTACACAGAGATCAAGCACCTGCTCAAGAACAACTTGAAACTCAAGATAAAACAAGCGCAACAGTCAGAACCATTTTCACCCCTAAGTACAGCCAGTGTCTTTCTTATTCTGACCTACTGTGCTCAGATCTCCACCCTCCAAATACTTCTTTTTTTTGTCTGTAAGATTTTTAGACTATTTTTCTTCCAGAGAAAATAACATGTAATGACTACATGATCTTATCTATTGGAAGCATTTTTGTTACAGCAGTAAGTAATTGCATTACCTGAGCAGTAGCAATTACTAGAATCAGCAGTGTAGAACCAGACAAAATTATAGTTTGCTTTTAATCTGATAAAAATCTCAGTCCTCTCCCAGTCTCCCTCTGATTCTAAAGGGCAAGTACCTTCTTCTCATTTTTAAATCTTCCTTCCTGCTTCTTCCCCACCTCCCCACCAGGCAGCATTGTTGACTCTATAACAACATCATGATCTGTCCAACTGACATTTCTTAATGAGGCCTTGCAAATTTATTACCTTTAATGGTCATAATTAGGGATCATTAGACTCTTGAGACTAATGTCTGTGTGAGACATTTTGATCAGCGCCACAAGTTGTTTTAAATGTAGCATAGATTCTGAATTACATTTTCTTATACTGCTTCAAAGAAGGCATGGCCTTCTAATTCTCACCTAACACTCTTTCAAAGGCCAGAAATTTCTGTAGTGACTTTTGTACCATAACTTTTGCTTGTGTGTCACTTCCACCTTGCTCTCACATTGGCTGTACTTCCTTCCTTTACCTGTTTAAGTTTGCAGGCTTTCTGGATAAATGGATAAACCTCTGTACCAGGCTGAAGTGCAGACCACATGGAGGTGTTGAATAGTGATCATACTGCAGCCAGGTTTCTTCAGACTGTGCTGCTGGGATGGACCAAACAGTTGGATTCAAACTCTGTTAATAGTTTGTAATAATAGTGGACTGAATTCTGGTGTCTAATATTTTCTAGCAGGACTCAAAATGTTACAACAGACCAGGAAAAAAGGTTACTTCAGCAACTCCGAGAAATTACTAGAGTTATGAAAGAAGGAAAATTCATAGATGGCATCTCTCCTGAGAAGGAAGCTGAAGAAGCTCCTTACATGGAGGATTGGGAAGGTAAGCAAGAGCCTTTCTTACCATTACCCTGATGAGAAAAATTGAATAAGGATTACATGTTCAGATCCTTTCAAAATTTTTTGTTAACTTTATCTTCCTTTTCAGAAGTCAGTGTTCAAAACTTTGCAAGAGGCACTCTGATTTCCCAACCATAACAGAAAGAAAATAGATTTTGAGGCATCCAGCATTCCCTTCAGTGTAAACACTACACTATCATCTGCTGCCAAAAGTGGCATATGAATATTCACATATGCTTTATCTGCTGGTGGGTCTTGGCTGCTGTAGGTTTATATCTTTCCCTTTCTTTGCTGGGCTAGATTTCATGCAAAATCATAAAACCCTTGGAAATCAGAATCAATATGTTTTGGATAATTTACAGTTTTTACTTTTGATTAGTCATTCTTTGTTTGCTCCAATGTTGTAAAAGTAAACTCCAGAAGTCTCTTTTAAGAATTCTTTATTTTAATGTCCTTTCCATTCTTTGGTGTTTACTTGATACATAAATGTGTTTTCAAGATAGCCTAGTTGAACTGCTCACTATCATAACTTTAAATGCAGACTTAATTCCTTGTTAAGAAGCTTTCAAAAATGATCCAAAACATAAAGCATAAATGGTGGCCTTGAGCTCTGTTTTCTTAAGTCAAGCTCATGATGCATTTTCTAAAATGAAATGCACAGTCATTGACATAGCTGGTTTTTTCAACTTTATAAATAATGCTGTTTATAGCAAAAGTCTTCAAAACCTGAATCAGTCAATCTGTAAACAGAAACAAACAAAAAAATGTGATCTATTTGAAGATCTAAGACATGCAATTTTCACCTGTTAGCTCCCATAGCTTTCAGCAAAGCTCAGATATTCACTCCTTAAAGTCACGCTTTATCCTGGCTCCCTAAAAATAAGCGGAGTTTTCTCATCATCTCCCAAGAAGTCATGTTTTGCACATTCTTGCCATGGATTTAATACTGTGACATATACCTGACATTAAATAGATGACAGTTATACTGGCAGTGCTAAAAATTGTTCTAACAAACTTGTGCATCCATCACTGAAGTTGGCACTACTTTTAAATATTGGTGACACTTCAAGCTGCATATCACTTTATTCCTAAGGTTATCCAGAAGAGACCTATCCTGTCTATGACAATTCTGATCGCTTCAAGCGCAAACAGGACACGATCCTTGTAGATTACCCTGACCTGAGCCAGCCCTCTGCAGAAGAGCTGGCAGAAAGAATGGAGGGCATGGAAGATGAGGAGCATCTGTGCAATGAAACTCTGCTAACTGATCTCACCATGGGAAGAGACAGTCATGATTTAATGCAGAAAAAGGATGAGGTAACTGGCATCAGTGAAGAGGAGAGGGACCTTCATCACAGCCAAAGCACTGAGGAGTGCTGCTGTTGCTATGAGGATGACGACCCTGCTGTCATAGCAGAGAACGCTGGATTCCACTCTGAGAGCTGCAGTGAAGCAGAAGAGTCAACCCAAGAGGACCCATCTGTGGAGTCAGAAAATGAAAACGCAGCACTGAAGAAGCAAAAAGCCAGTGATTCAGATGAAACAGGCACACTGAGAAAGCGCAACACGAAAGGACTTGAGTAATAGGAACAATAGTGGATGTTACCCAGATGGAGAAGGTAGAGGTCATAAATTGTCGTTCATGTGGTTTTGTTCCCAGTGAAGAATTCTCTGTGTTCATCTCCTTGTACCAATTTCATTCCCATTGTAACAATCAGTCACGTTATCTACCTGAACTGGAAGCCAATGCCTTCATTCAGGCACTCTTGTCATGGCTTACCATGACGTTGCCAACAGCGCTTTGTCTTTGCTTTTTGGAGACTGGTATCATGGAGCAGATTATTCGGTTCAGATATTTGTGATTCTTTCTGATTCTGAAGAAACAGTCCATGTTTTTGCCCTTTGTCATCCCAGAGTTAACCAAATGTCTCTTCTGACTTTCTCAAGAACATCTGTTTGTGTGCTACCAGTTCTGAAAATTAATCAAATCCATATATATTTATAAGATTACCAGGAAGCTGGAGGAGAAAGTATGCCTTTTTTCTCTCACCTGAATGTTAACTGATCAGCAGAATAGACCACAGTCACACACGTGACTCTTTCTAAACCATGTCATTGCTGCTGTATGCCCAAGAAACTGTTGTCACTACAGTCCACAAAATTCATATGCTACCCCAACCCACAGCCCATTTCCTAGCTTATTCTGTGCTGCAGGACCAGTAGCCTCAACTATGTTGTGTTCCACAAAGAGGGTGAGCAAGACTGAAGCCTTACGACTTTTCTTTGTCTTTGCCATAGCTGTGGTGCAACCCCCGCAGGAGTGCAGGAATCGGACCATACTTTGTGCTAGAGTAGAATACTAAAAATATCTACAGGGATTAAAAATAAAAGCAACAAGAAGGTTTGTCCTTAAAAGTAGAGAAGAGAGCAAGGGTGAACCTCAGACGGAAAAGAAACCCCACCACTTCCAGGCCCCAAGGACCTCCCTCACTGGCCTCCAACAGAGTCCTCTCACGGTGCTGGCCCAAAGGACGCCAGGCCCTCTCCTCCTCTCTCCCTTGGGCTCCGTGCAGAGGAGATGGCACCTCCCCACGCTCCAGGGGCAGGCCAGGAGATGGGGAAGAAGGGCCCACGCAACACTTGGCAACCAGCAGTTCTTTATGGAGTGCTGGGAGGCTTGCGCAGGCCGGCTGTGCCTCCCTTTCCCACCGGCGGGATGTCTGGATGCTTCCCTCCCTGTCAGCCGCTGTCAGGCGTGGGGGGCTGCGCCACTTGCAGGGAGCCGGGTTGCTGGGGGGTCACTGAAGACCCCTGACCCTCCTGGAACACCGTTGCC